TTTGCATTCCTTTTTTTTAAAGTATTTAAAACTGTATTGCACAACAAACACATCATTTTATCTTTCTCAGCAGTAAAGAAAAAATCTAACTCCCATTCTACATTAAATGTTCTGTTTTCATCACCTAATTTTCTTCTCTTACTATTTGACATGATGGATAAAAAAACGAATATCAAATAATATCTTTAACAAAGTGTATACTTTCTAGAAATACAATAAAACCGTGTAACTGTTATAAGCACTCACTGTTAACTACAGTTTGCTGAAGATCGCAACAGGGAAGCGTTGAGAGATGCGAGTCAGAGAAGCCAAAGCAAGGTGTGACACTCAAATGGGAGATCTGAAACCGAGTTTTGTTTACTTCTTAGACAAGGTAGTTGGCGCTGCTAGCGCTTTTTAAACAGTTTTTTAAAAAATTAACATTGAGTGTCCAAGTCTGAAACGGATGGTCTGTGGGCCAGAGCCTCGCTCATGCGTGTTAGAGTCCGTTTCAGACTAGTATTCTGACGTCATGTTACAATATGACTGTCTTTGGCGGGATTTTTCGCGCAACTGTCATGGCGTTGATGTACAATAGTTGTTTGAAACGAACTCTACCATTTTTGTACTAGGTGGCAAAGGGCCGCACAAGAACCTCGCGGAGGCCGCAGATTCCCCACCTAGGGTCTAATATAAAGATTTCTTTAAAAATTAATAGATACACTTACTTACTATTATTTATTTCTTTGAATAATTTTAACAAAAAGTATCATCAATAAGTCTATGCATGCATGTTATTAAAAGAAATTAATCTAGAAATATAATTTGCATCAATAACAAATTCTATATTCTTTGAAACATTTCAATAAATCTGTAAATACACAATATCATTCTACATAACAAATTTGAATATATTTTATGAACAAATCTTAATTTTCATATTCATTCAATTATCTTTGGATTTCTTTAGAACAATATCATTAACGTTGTTATAAAGAAAAAAAAATGTTCTGACTCATCTACAATTTCTTTAGTCTAGAAAGTTACCTCAATACTGAAATTAATATTTCAGTTGTGTGTGTGTGAAGTCAACATTTATTTTAGTTAAACTAATTGAAAATCATTTAATTTGATGTCTCTAATTAAAGGTAATCAGATTTGTTTGTTCTGACTTTAGAATTTAATAAGGTCTTCATGTTTTTTTATATATTCGTATAATAAAAAGGTAGGAAGAAAATGGAATTCAAAAGTTTCATCAATCATAATGAGCAGTCTTATAGTAACAAAAATAAATTTAATATTTTATGGTATAATAATTTTTCAATGTCTGAAATATGATGTAATTATGCTTGTATTATAATCCTGTAAAACAAGTTAATTATCATTTAAACTTGCATGATTGGTAAAGAAATGTCATAGTAAAAAAATTTGCTTTGTAATGTTTTGCTAAAAATTTTATATTAATCATTGCATATTTTGTTCTATTAGAATTAGATTTAGTTATTACTATAACTTGTAGTATGTGCAAGTAAATGAAATTGTAATAATTTCAATTCACAGATATTATGTTATTTCTTCATTTAGAAACTTTTTCCAAGTTCAGAAAGACTACGGACATAATTTTTGCCTGTGAAGTTTTGTAATTATAGGAGCGTTAGATCTGGTTTATTACGTTTGGAACAAAAATCAAATTTGCAACATGGAAAATTATATATCTTTTATGCAACGAAAGATAGATAAAATACCATTTTTGTTCTACTTTTTTAACTCTTAAAAATTTCAGCAGCATTTGCCTGTTTTAATCCAGCATTTTTATGAGTTTTATTTTAAAAAAATGAACTATCCAAAGTTTTAAAAATGTATTTCACTAATAAACATATTTTGCATTTTTATTTTGAATTAATTGTTATTTATTTTAAAGGAAAGCTGACTTTACAACAATTTAAAAACTTATTACTTTGCCTGCTGTTTGATACTTATGTTGAGTAGATTTGACAATATCAGGAATAATCCAATTATGAAACGTATAGAATGATATTTATTGCAGGTAGTAAATTATTGCTTGGAATATAGAATATCATTTGTTGCTTTGTGCAGGTTTTATATATAATTTAATCTTAACGCTTTTGCTGTTGACATTGAATCTACATAATTTGTGCAACTTTTCTTTTTCATTTTTTTTCAAAACTGTTTACTCAAAATGAAAAAAATTTTTATTCTTGTGTATATCTTTATGAAATTATGAGATGCACCTATCTAAGGACATATTTAATTATAATAAATGATGATAAATAATTTCTTGGAAAAGTAAGGAACCAACAATAAAATATAATCTTTAAAATATTTATTACTAACTGGAAGTGTCAGAGAATCTGAAAAATGATGTATGCACATTACCAAAAACTTCTGAATGATGCAAGATCATGGAATTGGTAGCAAAAGTGCTATATTTATAAAAAAATTTCTTTGAATAATGTTATCGGTAATATTTTCTTTGGACATTTCTGTATGTTACTGGCAATTATGGTGACTTTTGAGTAATTTAATAGTAGTTTGAATCATATTTGATTATTTATATATAAATTTATATACAACCAATTTTCATACTCAATATAATATTTATGATATGAGAAGAAAACATGTTTTCTAATTACTTTAATATGTTGGAGTTTAGTTAAAAGTTTTTCATAATAGAAAATAATTTTAATATTTTTATGAAAATTTCAAGTAAATATTTGATAATAATACTGAATTTTTTAAAAATAGGTGTCTTTGTTTTGGGAAAAGGAAACCAAGGCATATTATATGAATATAGAGAAAAAGAATTTGGAGATCAAGCTAATATTACTGAAATATTATCTGCTGCTAAGGAAATTGCATAGATAATGGAAACTTTTTTGTTGCTGCTAATGTTTATTACAAAAATAAGGTGAAAGGTTGTAAATATATTAATGATACTCTTACAAAAAAAAAATTGTAAATTGACTCTTTTTATACTCTTGAAAATTAATGTGATACTGTTTATAGATCATATTTCAAATTTGTATGCAGAAATATCTGAAATAAATAATAAAATAAATTAACATTGTGTGATTTAAATTAGTTAATGTTTAATCTCTTCTTATTTTGCCTGATGTGCTGGACTAGAATTAAATTGTAATGTGTTAAATAAATATTTAAGAAATAACACTTAAAATTTGTCAAGTAAATGTAAGATTCACATTTATTTGTGACAGCAAATCTGTACAGCAGTGAAAGAAAGTGTGTGAATCATGTAAATATCTCGAATACTGTGAATAATGTGTTTGACGAAGGCACAAAACTGTTACTCAAAAATATACTCTAGTTTGCTTCATAAACAAATCTGTCAACAATATATTTCCTTAAAAGCACACTACAACAGAAACAATGCACAATCTGAATAACTTCTATAGGAGAATAAAATTAAGAGACAACCTGATTAAGTTCTAAACAGCGTAACAGTGTGATAAGAGCCAACCATAAAAAAATCTCATCTTCCATATCCCCACATCTAATTTCAATATACGTACCCATTTTAAACATCTTTTTTTTGGAACTAACATATATATATATATAATAATTGACTCGATTCCACAGATGAATATTGGGTAAGTTTGCTGATATCACATGAATCTCTGAATAAAAAAAATAATTCAACTAAAAAACAAAAATAAAATACTGATTTGTAAAATGTATCAAATATTTGATTTTTTTGTACCAAAAATAAAATTAAAAAAAAAAAAAGAAAACATCTTAGAGAGTGCCAAATATTTATTAGTTGATGCCTTTCGTTCCAATAAATCATTCATTTACACTGCATAGCAAAATATGTACATGGCTGGCAAGCAACAACCCATCACACACATACTAATGCAAAGACTGTGGGCAAAGCAACATCTACAGCTTATTTACAATGGCATACTTACATAAATTTTTTTTGGAGCAAAGCTCAAATTAGCACTCTGACTTCACATAATTGATATTTACAATGGGACTCATGGACAAAAAGATACAACATGAAGTAGTAAATCATAGCTGCTACCAATATACAAGTTTTGGCAATATAGTCTTTTCACAGTTGTGTCCAGCACCCATATTCTCTTCGTGTTTGAAGTATCAAAGGGCCCAAGAAATTTTCACAGCATTTTCTTCAGACTTTTTTTTTTTTTTTTTGTGTATGTTAGTTTTTACTTTTTTGAAATTGTGAAAATTTGTGCCTCTGCCGGTATGTCATCCCGTTTCTTTCAGAATTGGGAAGTGCCGACAAGTAATGTTAATTTATAAATTTACTCATTTTAAGGCCAAATCGGAATCTGACATTATATATATATATATAATAATCTCTATATCTGTATATGTATATATATATATGTATATGTATATGTATATATAGAATACAATTCTTTCTTGGTCCTCTAGGCCCAAAACTAATGACTTGACTCCCAAGGATGTTACCGCCTCATTACGGAATTTAAAGCTTGTGGTGTGAGACCGCTGTTTATATGATAACTGTATGTTGTATACATTGCATTCTGTGGCCGGACAGTTTCCTGATACTGAGCCTGAGGATGCATGTTTACGTTAACCATTCCCATCTGTACAGCTGCGGCAGGTAATTGGGCTTGGTTGATAAAGCCGGTGTTTGTGATGTATCCAGCTGTATTTAACATAGCTGCTCCAGGAGGAGCAGCCTGTTGTACTCTGTATCCCATCCCATTTAATGTCTGATAGCTGGCTGCAGCTACCAAATTTGGATTGAGAGCAACATTTGGATTACGCTGAACCTGCCTAGAATATCGATGGCTATATTTATTGTAATTATGAGGATGATTGGAAGATAGAGATACTTGTGGCTGTAAATGGGCGAGGGCTGGTGCAATGGCACGAGGAATCTGTGGTGGAGGAGTGATGTTAATTTGTGGAGAAGGTGGAGTGAGGTTTGGTGGTGGTGTCATGGTATTGCACGTGACAGAAGTAGGCACGATATCCATTATTCCATTAGTTAGTTGTTGTAATTTTGCTAAACTACAACTTGTACTGACTTGTGAAGATGGAGGGTTTGGAGTAGGAGTAGGAGTGGGAGTGTAAGTGTAACTAGGTGATTGTATGTGGAAAGTTGTCGGTACACTGGAAGTAACGGGACATGACGATCCGGCAGAACCTGGCAAATTAACTATGTGAGTTAGTCTTTGCATGGCACCTGTCATTGAAGCAGCAGAATGACTTGCCATTGCCAAATGCTGTGGAGTCTGTTGTAACTGCTGATGATGATGATGATGATGATGATCGTGAACTTGGGTAGCCGCAAACGTTGGACCTGCCGGTTGCGACTGAATCATTGTTGCCACAGGTACACCAACCATATATGATGCCGGAGCCATAGGAGTAGCAGGTGCTGGAGGGTTGTTACATTGTACAGCCATGTTCATGTAATTTCCTGTGGAACCAACTGTTGAACCTGGCCCAACAAACAAAGCATTAACAGCTGTGGCATTAACACTAACCATACTTGACTGAACCATGCTTGACTGAACTATACTGGAAGCTGTTACAGGAATACGACCTTGAGAAAGAACAGATGCTGTAATTGTGTGCTGTTTATGAATCGTACTACTAGCACAGCCTCCTATAATTGGAGCACTTGGAGTTCGAGCCTGAGCATGAGCCTGTGCGACAGCGGCTTGTGCCGCTACCACTGCAGCTGTCATCACAATGGGTTGCTGTGGAGTAGAACTAGATGAAATATTATTACAAAAGTTATTACTTTGTGTATTATTTTGTATTTGTGCACAGTCCATATATGGTTGTGGAGTTGGTGCATGCTGTAAAGGTTCAACAGAATTTTGAGCCATTTCATTGCTACTAATAGAAGTTGGAGATTCCAATCCTAGCTGTGCGGCATCAATTTCCACAGAATTAAATCCTCCATTTGAGATTACGCTGTTTGTAGAAGAATCAGGTGTATACACGCCCATATTAGCCATTTCTTGGGGAGTCGGTGTATGTTTAGATATCACAGTACCAGGTGTACAAGGAGATGAAACAGGAGGTTGTGGAATTTGATTTTCATCTGTGAGACTGTCCGTTCTATGAGTTATATTTCTTGTTGATATCAGCTCATGATCTATAGTTGTCTCATCTACAGTTTCTGCATTTTGATTTAATTCAGGAAGTCCTTCCTGATAATTAGAATCCATAGTATCCTGAATCACAATTGTAGAATCTTCTGGTACAGAATCAGCAACTGATGACATTAATGGATCATTATGATCCAAGATGCTTTCATTTCCTAAAGAATTCATTTTACATTGGTCTTGCTGCTGCATGCTTTGAATACTTTGGGGAGGATTTGAACATGGAGTCTGCGGAGTTACTGGTGTAGGTGGCATCTGCACAGAAGGTATTTCAAAATGTTCATTAATTATACTTGATTCGTGAGATTGTAAAATTTCATTCTGTTTTGGACTATCTTCCTTTGAACTTTTCACTTTGTCATTTAGTTCAGTAGGTGAAAATGATTCTTGATTAACTGAATTAAGAGAAATAAGGTCATTTTTGTTTTCAAAATTATTCAAGCTTGTCTGTTCTAAATCTTGATCATTATTGACTGATTCACTGACTGAAGTAACAATATTCATGTTGTGATCTGAATATTCTTCAGGTGTTTTGTGTACATCAAGTGGACTGACTTGATTAGAATGTGAAATATCATCTGTATTCATATGTTCATTAGGAATATCTGTTACCATTGAACTTTCATTTTCATTAATATTGCTGTTTTCAATTTCTGAGCTTGGCTCATTTTCTTTACAAGGACTATTTAATGTTTCTAAAGAAAGCTCTTCTTTCTGTATTTCAGTTTCATTACTTACTGGTTCATTTTCTACCAAAGCACTAACATCACAGGAAATAGTTTCTGCAGAAACTGTAGATTCTGTTGATTCTGGTAATGGTTCTTCTGATGGTATTTGTTCTTCCTGCTAAAAATAAAAATCAATTAATATATATTAAATTTCTTTTTGGTTAAGAATAAATCAATATTTTTGGCTTTTTCAGTTTTTAGACAACTGATTAATTAATTAATTGGATAACTGATATAGCTACCCAATTACAATGTAGTAAGTAGTATAAACTAATTATTTAAGAATATTTATAAATCCTTTAATCCTAACAGAATTTTAACTTAAATTTATTTTTACCATTAGTATCCCTTTAGAGTGTAAAATAAAGACCAGAGTATGGTTTATATTCATACCCTGTAAGTTAATATTTGGTTTTAACATACAGGATATGAACTTTTTAAAATTACAGTAGAACCTCGATTATCCGGACCTCTATTATCCAGATTTTCGATTATCCGGATTGTTCAAAATAAACAAAAATTTTACGAATTTGATGATTTGCAATTGGCGAATTACGACACTGTTTACGTACGTGATGGAATGCATAACATTTTTTGTTTCAAAGTCTCACCCGGCAGTGGTCGTAAACTCTTAAATATATTTTGCGTCGTAATAAAAATATAACTTGACATGTGTATTTATAAATAATTTATATTCAAATTACATCATTTCTATAACCAAGGGCGGCGTAAGGCATGGGCGACGTGGGCCACTGCCTATGCCTCACGGTCCGAAGGGCCTTGCGCCTCGAAGGTTTATGCATTACTTAAAAGCCGAGAACGCGACGAAAAAATTTTACTTGTCATAAAACGATAAATAGTTTGTCAAATTTTTATTCATAAAAATGCAGTTCCAACTGCTTTTTATTTTATAAAATCCGTATTCTTGAACTGCCAGAGGACCTTTTAAACAATAGCTAGTCTGTTAGCGCTGGTCAGTAGTAGTCCAAATTCAATAAAACATTTGTTTCCTGAAAATTTGATCACAATTTAAATACAGTATTTATTTTTAATATTACTGATATGTCATCGAAAAGAAAACGTGTTGTATTATCATTAAAAGACAAATTAAAGTATTTGTTTCTATTATCCGGATTTTTCCTTATCTGGACTACCTTCATCCCCAATTAGTCCGGATAATCGAGGTTCTACTGTATATAGATTTCTGATTTAGAATCAGGTAATGTTTTTATGTACTTAGAGTGCATGCAAAAAGTAAAACATAGTAAATGATAACTAACTTCCTACTGTACTATTGTCTATTTTTATGTCCTACCCATCTTTGCATAAGATGTAAACAATATCTGCTGGTGTGCAAACTCCTTTGCATTTGACTTCTGAATGTTTTCTAAAACATTTATTCATAAGACAGTTTTAAACAGTTAATACATTAATAATAAACAGCAAAAATATGATAAAATAAAATTTAAATTTATTATCTCAAAAGTTAAGGTTTGCTTAAGTAAAAATTTGCAAACAAGCCAAAGGAGAAAATCAAGAAAAGGATAGATTCACTTGGACACATGTAGATTTCTCTACATTGTCTACATGTGGACATATAAACTGAAGAATTTGGAAGTAGCAGTAATAAAGTAAAATCTGTTTACAAGGAAAAACTTTAGAATGGAACAATTTTCTATGTTAATTTTTAATACAAGCTACTATTTAATTATATTTTAAAATAATAATTATAATTGATATAACTATCCCCTGTATAACATGGTAGTTAGGTTCTGAAAAAGTCCAGTGTTATGCGAATCCATGCGATACAAAACATAGCATTAAAAGTTCCAAAAATTAGCAAAAGTGTATTATTCTTTTTCATAATTAAGAGAAACATGTTTATTAAGAAATCAATAATTAACTTATGACAATCAGAGTATTGCATGTTGATATAAATGTTTTCTTCACTGCTAAACACCATTAAATGAGGATGTTTTCTATTCAGCAAAATATTGTCATCTGAACTTTCCTGTTGACCTTAATACCAGTATGAAATGTCGGTAACATCTTGATTTTTCTATACTTTTTCATAAAATGTGATATTTTAATTTGTTTGCACTTGCCTAAGAGATCTTTAAAAATTTAGTTTTTTTGTAGTAATTTTTAATTTAATCTATAAAAACGAAACAACAGTCTTCCGGGTTCATTTAGAGCATTATCACCAAAGATAGCAACACTTGGTTTATAGGAAGGCTAGGACAAGGAAAAAGAATAACTGTACAATCGGTTCTCACAAGCAAACTAGGCAAAAGGCACAAAACAACATTGGCAATTTAAATATTCTAAAATCCGTGGGTAAATATGAGACAACATGCATGCTTGCTTAAATAAAAAAGCTATTAAATGACAGTGTTTTGCACTTAAAAACTGTAACGCTTTGTATGGGAATGCCTCCAATTTTTGAATTGTGTTAGAGTGAAATTGTGTTGTATGAGGGATACCTGTACTATTATTTTTTATCATCATATATTTAAATTATTAAAGTAAAACACATTCTTATGAATTAATTTATACACCTCTATGTCCTTATTTTCTATTTGTTATATATTTTGTCTACGAGGACTTAGCCTATTAATAGGATGCACTGGTATTTTGGCTTTAGCAATCGAGGAAAATATTTTATTCAGGAAAAACAAACAATCTTTATTAATTTTTCTATTTCCTGCAATATGTCCTATTAATAGGCTAAGTCCTCCTAGACAAAATATATAACAAATAGAAAATAAGGACATAGAGACATATAAATTAATTGTAATAATTTTTAACAATATGTAGCCAAAATTCCGGTGGATTGGAAGATGCAAAAGACAGAAAATTGAAGAGGAAATAGAAAAATTAATAAAGATTGTTTGTTTTCCCTGAATAAAATATTTTCCTTGATTGCTAAAGCCAAAACACCAGTGCAATACATCCTATTAATAGGCTAAGTCCTTGTAGACAAAATATATAACATTCTTATGAAGTTTGATTTATATTAAACATTATGAGTAATTCTTATCTGAGTTTTTATTTCATCTTACAGGGGATCCTCATTTAATGTGGCTAACTAGGACCAAAAAGTTACCCCTTTAAGTGAATCTATGTACAGCAGTGATCATAAATTCATAGAAAATCATATGAAAAATGTTTAATTGGGACTTCAGTAAAGAAAAACTAAATGAAAAGTATGAAAGAAATCTTTATTATCCCTATTTACACATGTAAAATATTTATTATTAACATACTTGAATATCAGAAATTATTTATAACTGAATTTTAGAAGGGCCTAGTTGTGTTTCACCATTTTCACTGACTGCTGAGTTTTGATATACAAAAAATGAATCTAAAGTTAGCTGTTTTCTGCAAATTTATTTTTTCATTTAATATTGTTTTATAACAAAATAAGTTTTTCATCCTGTGCTCAAATTTTTCTGCTCATTCATAAACTGGGTCATTTTTAAGAAAATAATTGATGATTTTGTCACACTTCACAAATGTGTCATATAAACCATNCAGCGCACCAAATAGCGGGCGTGTTTTCTGATAAATTATTTTTCTGCGAAAAATTTGTTGAACTTTGGAGACATCATTAATAGAAATAATTTTTATGGCCGTTGAATAAGAAATGTTTTTTTCACAAGAAATGTATAAAATTACAGTACTGTATTAGATTTACAGTACCTAATTTATATACTGTACAGATGATAGTAAACTCAACTTACCCGTCTAAACTCTCCATAGCATATAAGTAGTTCGGCTGCTCGTCCACTATTGGTCCAGATTCGACCAATCCTGTTGTGACACGAGTCGGCGATGACGTTTTACCGCATTTTACGAGTCTCTTTTAGCATCTTTATATGAATACGGTTGCAATTTTTTCACCGCAATATATGAACCCGCGTTATAGGGGGGTCGACTGTATATAAATAAACAAAAAATCAATGTAAATTAATTGTGCAATGTGACACTAAGAGATTCTCAAGAATTTAAATGAATAATTGCCAGCCAACAATGTTGAATGAATCATTTATATTGCTTCTTAATAAATAGGAACAGCATATCAACACAAAATTAGTTTTATCATTATTCCATGTTGAAATATAATCCTCAAGTACTGTCATTAAAACTCAGTTCCATCTTTCTAGATTATACATAAATGATAAGATTGATCAAATATTTATTTATTATTATTTATTATATTTATATTATTGTTTAGGGTTTATTCCATTCTATTGTGGCAACATGAGTTTCTTCAAGTGTCTATCACATAAATAGGTGCCAGTTTTGCAAAGGATTACCTTGGAATCATCACCTGGGTTACATATTTATCATAATTGCATCATTTAGAATACCTATCATTCTGATACTGAATTGGTCAAACTGGTCATTCCTTATAGATGTTTACATTCCATTATGAAGTAAACTTTTTTGTGTTTTGATTTGTGATTCATATTTCTCTGGTAAAGAGTCAAAACTCTCAATATCTTATAAATTTAGATATTATGATCTCAAGAATTCTTAGTGCTTTGATCTATTTAAAATCTGATTTCTTAAAAATATTCTGGACTGATTTTATAGCAATTTTCTCTTAGCAGAGTTGTATTTGTATTATCCTACTTAATTTAATTGTTTAGAATTAGCATTTTTACTTTAAAATATCTATAATAATATTAAAATAAATTTTTTCTAAACCTTTTGTCTGTAATTTTGAATGAAAATGTTATGGCTATGTAAGGACACCGATATCTTAAAGCTTACATGTCTTTTTTAAATATTTATTATTTTTTTATTCCTTATATTCTACATTCAGTTTTCTTGATAAATTACTGATTTCTTAGTATCAATTTCCAAGAGGAAATTAGACATTCAAATGTCAAAAGTCGGAATTATGTAGCAATGATGTTTTAAAGTTTGATGTATAAATTGAACAAAAACTGCTTTCGGTACTAATATGCAATATAAATATATATGTATTTGTATGTTTTAGCATAAATTTAATTTTTTTTGGTGAAAATTATTTCATCGTTCTTCTTAATCTTGTACCGGTATTATCATCAAAAAATACTTACAAATATAACAAAAGAAGAATTAAATTTA